TTAATTGCTTATTAAGTTGGCTATAAAATAAAATGTCGAAACCTGAGTTTCGATATTAAATAAACATTTATTTTTTGAACTGCAATAAGGATATAAAAATATTGCAAAAATGCGTGCAAAGATCGAAGAAAAAGACAGATACGCGGCTCTTGTATTAAAAGAAGAAGGCTATAGCATCAGACAAATAGCAGAAAAGCTCGGAAGGTCTCACTCTTGCATTATTAACATAATTCAACGCTACAAAGAGACCGGGTCAATTAATGATCGTCATAGGACTGGACGCAATAAAATTTCAAATGACTGTGATGTTCGCTCGTTAGTGAGATTAATGAAAGAAAACAGACAAGCATCATCTACAGACTTGTCTACGAAATGGACACTGTCAAATGGTCTGAAAGCAAGCCCTAGAACTGTGCGAAGGGTCCTCCACAATTTAAATTATTTATGGCGTGCTGCTGCAAAAAAACCACGCTTAAATAAAAAACAAAAATTTGCCAGGAAAGAGTGGTGCAAACTACATAAAAATTGGTCAACAGATCAGTGGAGCCGTGTGGTCTTTAGTGATGAAATGAACGTTGAGGTAGACAACAGAAAAGGTCGCGTTATGTTGCGTAGACTTCCAAGCGAACGGTTCGATGAATCATGCATTTTGAAACGAACAAAACAAGGCAGTGGTTCAATAGGCATTTGGGCCTCTATGAGTGCCTGTGGAGTTGGCTTTTTTTATTTATTCGATGGTAAACTCAACAAAGAAAGGTTCATCGAAATGTTGGAAAACTCGCTTATTCCTAGCATTGGCAGTTGCAAGATGGATTTATTTTCCAGCAAGATAATGCACCGTGTCATAAAGCGCATGTTGTTAGCGATTGGTTCAATTCTAATAAAATTCAAGTGCTTCCATGGCCTGCCAATAGTCCAGACTTGAATCCAATAGAGAATTTATGGTCGTGGCCTGATCACAAGCTTGGTAAAGACCAACTTTACAATTTGGAAGATTTGAAATCTTCTATCTCTTATCATTTGAAAAATGTGCCTGATGAAGTAATCAAAACTTTAATGAATTCAATGCCAGAACGAGTACAAGAGTGCCTGAAAACAAATGGAGGAACAACACGTTTCTAAATTATTTTTTTATTGCTTTTTGAAATTTTTTTGAAACTGGTCTTAAAATTTTGTCCAATTTTTTTTTCCATTTATATTTTTTAATAGTCAGTTTTTTAATTTTTTAACATTATTTTGTAAAAAAATTATAAATTCTTTTATAATAAATATAAAATACAATAAAAATTCTTTCTAAAAATGTTTTTCTTTTTTTGATACCTTTTTCCAAAATAAAATTATACTAAGGTTAAAAATAAAATTTGAAAAAAAAAAATGAGTGGTCTTCAATTTTTGGCCACCGCTGTATAATTTGTGAAAAATAGGTAATAAAAATGACTATCCGTAGGTGAATTGTCCCAAATTTTCTATTTATGAATTAAATAATATTCGGTTTTTTAAAAGATTAACTCGTAGTTAATAACGGCTGATATTTTATACAGAACCAATGGCAGATTATAGCATTTCAGATCATAGGCAGAGATAATTGGAGGGACACATTTGATGACAACTGAGGGGTTTTTTAAAAAATCTTTTTTTATTCGCTTTTTTTTGGTAGTTTTTTCGCCCTCCTCCACCAAAATGTCATATCATGACACATAAATTTATGCATATCATGTCGCATAAATTTATGCATATCATGACACATAAATTTACGCATATCATGACACATAAATTTATGCATGTCATGACACATAAATTTATGCAGATCAGTACTAAAATAAACTTCAATTTAATGTTATCAAATCGTTTTTACTGATTAAATGAAATCATTAAACAAATCAAATTAAACAATATCAGTAACAAAATATTTAACTAATATATGCTTTAATCATTTTAGTATTTCGTTTTATTAACTTTAATACAATATATTTTACATATTTATTTCAGATTAAAATTACTGGCCTCTTTTTTAAGCGGGTCTTAGGGAACTGCCTAGTCTCCCTAAGGGGTCATCTGCCACTGTACCAAATACATATTTAGTTAATATTATGTTTAACAACATTTAAAAGAAAAAAAAGAGAATAATTTAACAAGATATATATATTTAATTAAACAATATAAATATAATAAAAAAATTTTCAATTGCCTGATTTTTACAATCTAATTGTCGTCCCAATAACTATCAGCATTTTAAGAACGTGAAACTAAAAAATTAACAAATAAAGCAATTGTAAAAACAACTCAACTAACTTTACTAAAAAAAAAAAATACCAATCTCGTTAAACCTTTGGCACTGAAAATTGAATGAGAATTATTTTAATATTGTTTTATTTTTGCTGTATTATGCGGTAAAATGATCATGTATTAGCAAACTTATTTAAAAATTCTAATAGAAATGATATCCTGAACCCAAATTATTCATATTATATATTTATAAATTTCTTTAGTTCGACTAAAAACAAAGTCGGGTAAATTTAGTTAACTAAAAAGTTAGTCGGCTAATTTTAGTTGGACTAAAGAGTTGGTCAGGTAATTTTAATTGACTAAAAAATTAGTCGACTAATTTTAGTTAGACTAAAAAGTTTGTTGGGTATTTTAAGTTAACTAAAAAGTTAATCGACTGATTTTAGTTAACTAAAAAGTTAGTCGACTAGTTTAAGTTAACTAAAAGGTTAGTTGACAAGTTTTATTTTTAGTTTAGTTAGTTACAACTTTTAGTTTGGGTCACAACACTAGATATTATATTTAACTTATTCTAGCTATTGCCGATAGCTTTTGCTTACTTTGCATAACTTGCAATAGTATAGCAAGTATTTCAAGTGAATCAGTTTGTTTTTTAATGTTTATTTGGTTTTTCTACAAATATTTTAGTTTTGATGTAAATTAGATGACCAATATGTTAGACGAGCATTGGAAAGCAGTGTATTAAATAACATTAGATAACTAATGTATAACATTAAGATAACATTAGATAACTAATGTACGTGCGAATCCAATAAGTTATGCAATCAAATCTTCAAAATCT